GTTCACGCAAAGAAAGAAGGCGTAACTTTTATTCTCGCTGTAGTATTGTTGCTGCCGCCATGTCGTGAAGGTGATGTGTGTTTCGTTTGTGAAAGCGAAACTACATTGTTTGGTCTTCCAAAAGAGGAACGATATATGCTTTGTCATGCCTGGAGCTGATCCGTGCTGGTCGCTGAGAGTCTGTGTGCACCGACTGCAATGGAGAGGGTGAGAATTAATTTTCATTCAGTGAACTCAATTTGTGATGGTCTGAATACAACAATTCGATGCTTGGTTGCGTTTTTAGGGGAAGTGATCCATGAGAAAGACCGCTGTAAAGAGTGTGAGGGCCGTAAAGTGTGTAAAGAGGTGAAGGTCTTGGAAGTGCATGTGGATAAAGGAATGAAACACGGACAGAAGATCACATTCAGCGGAGAGGCGGACCAGTCGCCCAACACAGAGCCTGGAGACATTATACTGGTGCTGCAGGAGAAAGATCATGAGGTAACACACACACACAATGAGCAGTGTGGAGTCAATAGTAGGACTCTAATCAACAACTATGTTGATTATCTGTTAATGTATTGGTTATTTTGCCCAGTGTTCTTCCATAGATAATGTGCACACTGAAATCTATCAATATATTTTATAGTAATCTGTACAAAAATGGTCTAAAATATAAAGGTTAGAATACAATGTATACATATGTATTATTATTAATAATAATTTATTATTTTGACATTTAAATTTGAATATATAAAGTATTTGTAATTTTGAAAAAGTTTTGATATTTTTAATAATCCGAAATAATGTGAAATGATTAAATGTAAATTTAATCCTGTTAAAATTACTATTCAAAAAAAGCGTCATTACTTGTGTTGCATACAGGATTTCAAGTTTCAGTTCTAATTCATTCAATTTATAATTAATTTACTTACATTTTATGTTGAATCAAGAATATTATTTTGATAAATGGGTGAATTTTTGGGTGAACGATCCCTTAAAGTATATTAAAGCAAGCAGCATTTAATCACTTTCAGGCAGTTAAGATGTGCTGTCTTGCAGAATGAAAATGTTTGCATTATAAGAATAATAACATTAAAATGTGTTTTTTTTTTCTTTTCTTTTAAAGCTCAAATACCTATGATGTCTGTGTTTACAGGAGTTCCGTCGTGATGGAAATGATCTGCACATGTCCCACAGGATTGGTCTGGTGGAGGCGCTGTGCGGATTTCAGTTCATGCTCACGCACCTTGACGGACGACATCTCGTCATCAAATATCCCCCTGGCAAAGTCATAGAGCCAGGTAAGCATAATGGTTTGTCAATGTTCTGTTCATGTTTTTGTAGAATATGCTGTAGGAAATGTTGTGTTCTCGTTGTCAGGTTCTATAAGGGTCATCCGAGGGGAAGGAATGCCTCAGTACAGAAACCCCTTTGAGAAAGGAGATCTGTACATCAAGTTTGACGTCAAGTTTCCTGAGAATGGCTGGATCAGCACAGAGAAACTAACGGTGAGTTTTCAACAATGTTGTTATTGTTAACTAAAATTATGAAAAATTTTCTAAATTAAGCTGAAATAAAATATTAATATTAAATTAAAAAGAACTTATAATTTTAAGTTGGAGTACTGAAATTACTAAAACCAAAACTAATTAAAGGGGTCATATGATGCGATTTCAATTTTTCCTTTCTCTTTGGAGTGTTACAAGCTCTTGGTGCATAAAGAAGATCTGTAAAGTTGCAAAGACTAAAGTCTCAAATCCAAAGAGATATTCTTTATAAAAGTTAAGAGTCAACCATGCCTACCTAAAACGGCTCGTTCTAACACGCCCCCACATATCTACGTCACTATCTGGGAAGATTTGCATAACGCCGCCCAAATGTTCACGCAAAGAAAGAAGGCGTAACTTTTATTCTTGCTGTAGTATTGTTGTTGCCGCCATGTTATGAATACGCTGTGTTTTGTTGTAAAAGCGAAACTACTTTGTTTGGTCTTCAATACAAAAAATAAAAGTTAATTAAAAATATTAATAGTAGTTAATAGTATTTAATAATATTACTTTTAATAGTATTAAGAGTAATAGTTTATAAATAATTATTTAAAAAAACAACACTGGTTTTCAAAAGTATACAAATATTGGGTAAAATGTTACATTTTTATCTTAGAAGTTGGGTATTGGAGCTACTTTCTTGTTATTATGGTTACCTAAAACCATAAAAAAAAAAAATAATAAAATAAAATAAAAAAAAAATAAAA